AGAAGTAACTTACCCATCAATGTTGTAATGGACCTTGAGCTGGATCCAACTCACAGTAACCCTATGTGGGAGCCAATACACAACAGAACAAAACCCTGCCTGAACCTGCACATCCTCAAAATCTCTGCTGTGCCCATTGCAGTCACTGTGTCAGTCCATCCTGTTAAGGACTTGCTGATCTACTTTTCCAGGCATGATGTCCTTTTACACTGTCTTCTCGTCACATACTCAAAGTATATGCGATGAAATCTAAATAATCAGTAATGCCTCCTATTTGGAAGAATCCTATAGGTATTTTAGATAACAAAGTTTCCTTTGAACAAATACATTACTGTATATGCAAAACAACATTGTTTTACTGTACTTCTCTATGCATGCATATGCTTCTTTCTGGTTTTGCAAACCTTCACCACTTTGGCAACTACAAACTGTTGCTGTTATGTACTATTGAGTTGCTTGCAACTCATAGCAACCCTATGTACAACAGCCCTAAACTCTGCTCTGTTCTTTGCCAATAGCACTGTCTCTGACACACCCATCCCAGTCACTGCATCAGTCTACCTCATAGAGGGTCTTCCTCTCCTGCGCTGTCCCTCCACCCTCCCAAGCATGATGTTCTTCTCTAAGGACTGGTCCCTTTTGCAACATATCCAAAGAATGTCAGATGAAGCTTCAGAATCCTTGCTTCCAAGGAGCAGCCTGGTTTAACCCTCTGTTGGATAAACCTGTTTGTTTTCTTAGCAGTCCATGGCACATTCAATACTCTTTTCCTGCACCACAGCTCAAAGGCATCAATTCTCCTTCTATCCTCCTTAGTCATTGCCCAGCTCTCTGATGCATAGTAAGTGACTGCAAAGACCTTGGCTTGAATCAACTGCACCTTAGTCTCCAGAGTGACACCATTACTCTTCAATACTCTGGAGAGGTCCCTACCAGCAGACTTTCCCATTGCAATATGTCTTTTCATTTCCTGGCTGCTAGTGCCAAGAGTTTTGACTTTGGAGCCAAGCAAACTAAAGTTGTTAACACTACAACCTATCCAACATAAAAAACAAACAAAACCCATAAATCCTCACAACTAGACCAATAAGCAACGTCATGATAAGTAGAAAGATGGAAATTGTCAATTATTTCATTTTACTTGAATCACCTAATGAAAACAACAGTTAAGAAATCAAGCTACGTTAATTGCTTTAGGGAAATCTACAGAACATCTTTAAAGTGTTAAAAGGGAAGCATGACACTTGGAAGACAACTAAGGTGCTCCTGACCCCAGCTATGGTATTTTTCCTCATATTCATGTGGAAGTGGGGCAATGAATAAGAATGACTGAGAAAGAATTGATGTTTTTGTATTATGATGTTGATGAAAGATATTGAATATACCATGGACTTCCAGAAGATATGTCTTAGAAGAAGCACAGCCAAAATGTTCTTCAGAATGATGATAGCAAGTACTTATGCACTCAGATAAAAAAAGATAATAGGCATTTACTTAGAGGCTCAAATAATAGACTTACATAGGTAAATGCCCTAATAATTTTTCTCCCATCTTAATTTTCTTTTTTATTGAAGAGCAAAATTACTATTTATTAAATGTATCATTATAAAAATATAGGAGCTGTAAAGAGAGACTGTTTACCTGTGCTTTACTGATTTATGGAAGGCATAAAAAGAGCAAGGACCATCTGGGAACAGCTGTATCTGATCTTTACCAACTTCACAAAGGGGAACTGTCCCTGTCAACACTATCAGTAACACAATACCAATTCACATGAGGTCAGATATGTCCCCTATGCTCTCATACTTCTTTCTACTCAAGACGAGTCTTACTGCTTTATGGGTTCCAAAATCTGACGTGATGGCTTACAGGCCACACAGAACCACGTTAAGGAAGTCAAAAGGTTATAATCCAGGTTAATAGCAGATTACAGTCAGGACAGTTCCCGAAATGTGCTCACAGACACCTCAGCCTTAACCCTATCAGCTTTAAGTCAGTCTTACAAAGTTCTCAGTCCTGCCAATATTGGTTCTCCTCACCCCCGCCCCACCCACCCCTGTCTTAGCCAATGTTACAAAGTTCTCAGTCCTGTGAATTATGACTACCTACCTCCAGTTGTCCAACAAACTTGTGTTTGGGAATACACATCAAAGTCTTATCTCTAGGCTACCAGATCTCCCTAATTTGTTGTTGTATGCCTTCAAGTCAGAACCAACCCATAGCTAACCCTCCTGTGGGTTTTCAGAGGCAGTTAACTGAATGGGAGGAGACTTCCCATCATTCCCCCTTGGAGCATCTGGTGAATTGGAACCACGAGTCTTTAGGTTCTTTACCTCTAGGCCACCAGAGCTCCCTAAGTAATAGTGATAATTTTTTCTTATTTAACTATAAAGAAAAACTGCATATTAAATAGCATATGAAATTCTTTTATAAAGCTCTTATCTTCATATAAAATTAAACTTTATATTTAATGAATTGGGGTACTTGTGTTCTACATGAAGTTCACAAAAACTTGATTTGTGCTAAATTCAATACAAGGTAATATTTTTTCAAAGAATGAATATAGTGTTTATGTCAAGTTTTCTGGTATCTAGTTTAGAATAATATAGTGAATTGGGGGGAAAAATTCCTCTCAATCAGTAAAATGTTTCTTGAAATCAAGTAGCACAATACCAGGTATATATTCATTTCATGAGTATTGAGTCTATTATAACCATTCAAACCACAGCCTTTGGTCTTGTGTTTCTGGAAAAAGAGAAAAATAGAGCCAGGGAATAGGAGGAAAGTATGGAAGGTGTGCCTAGCTGATTCCATTAGCATCTGCCTCCTTGCCATGAGACCAAGAAAATGAAATGGTGCCCAGTGACCTTTACTGAACATTTTGATCAGAGATTCTGTCAAAGAAACATGATCAAATGGGAGAAAATGCAGAACAGAATTGTTATCAGGATTGGTGGAAGAGTCATCAACAGCCTGCGTTATGCAGATGACACAACCCTGCTTGCTGAAACTGAGGAGGACCTGAAGCGCTTGCTACAGAAGGTCAAGGATTGCAGCCTCCTATATGGATTGAAGCTCAACATCAAGAAAACAAAGATTCTCACCACTGGGCCGCATCAGTATGGATGGTGAAGGGATTGAGATAGTTAAGTTTTAGTTTACTCTTGGTAACAGCAGCCAGGAAATCAAGAGACAAATTGCATTGGGAAAGTCAGCTGTGAGGGACCTCTCAAGAGTACTGAAGAGCAACGACATCAGGGTGGAAACTAAGGTGCACCTGATCCAGGCTATAGTCTTTGCAATTACGTGCTATGCATCAGAGAGTTGGACTGTGAATAGAGATGATAGAAAGAAAATTGATTCCTTTGAGCGGTGGTGCTGAAGAAGAATGTTGAATATATCATGGACTGCTAGGAGAACAAGCAGGTTTGTCCTAGAGAAGGTGAAGCCGGAATGCTCCTTGGAGTCAAGGATTCTGAAGCTTCGTCTGACATACTTTGGGCATGTTGCAAGGAGGGACTGACTGGTCCTTGGAGAGGGACATTATGTTTGGCAGAGAGGAGGGGCGGCGCAGGAGAGGAAGACCTTTGATGAGATGGATCGATTCTGTTACTGGAGTGGTGGGAATAAGTGCATTTGGGATGGCTAGGTTGACACAGGATAGAATGGCGTTTAGAGCTCTTGTACATAGGGTCGGTATGAGTCGCAGGCGACTCGATGGCACATAACAACAACAATGGACTCCAGACTTACTGGAAACATGAAGGCTGGATGAATCCTTCAAACTGTTGCCCTGAGATAATTTTTAAATTTTAAATAAAAAATATTCTCTCTCTCTCTATATATATATATCCCTTAGAGGCTTCTTTTTTTAATACCTTAAAGTTTTCTTAATGCAAAGAATAGTTCTGCTTAACTAGTGAAAACCATCTGCCTTGAACATTGTGCTATTTTAAGAATTATCTATATAGTATCATATTGACAATAACTCCAAAGAGTACATAGGAATCACTGGATTTATGCTAATGGGAGAGGAACAACTCGTAAAAGAAGGATGTTGTTAAGTGCGGTCAAGTCATAGACAACTCACAGCGACCCTATGAATGAAAAATCTGAACACTTGTATAACTTGAATCATTTCTCCAAATTTATAGAGTTTCTGGAGGCAAGCTACTTTACAAGTGGATGCCACTCCTGCTTCCAAGCTTGTTTTAATCGGGGAGCTCCATCAAACACTGTTCACCATGGGTAACCGTTATCACATTTGACACATCATTGTCACAGTGTTTAGCATCACAGCAACCATGAGTTACTTCTGTACAGCAAATGAACAGACTATATCACTTAGAAGAATGTTTGACCAACAACAGTTAAAACCAGGCCTGCGGACCGCAGATTAAAATCACCCACCTTTGGCTTGGTAGCATAGCTTTCTATCCACTAAGGCAACAGAGCTCTCTCATTGTTGTTATGAGAATGGTTAAATAACTTGGATGTACTCAGTGGCACTAAATGACATTTGTAGAAACTGTTGAATTGGTGCATTTTTTTGTATCCATATTTTCTCAACAACATGAATAAAATTATATATAGATTACATATCATCTAGTGTATGTGAACTTCATTCTACATAGCAAAAATAACTTATTGACAAAAGTTTAACACACTGGCATTGATACCAGTTATAATTTTTTCCTGTCTCCTAGGTTGCAAATAAACTCCTTAAAGATTCTTGAATGAAGATTTATTTTATTCTTATTTTGCTTTTTTTATAGGGTGTTCGTAAGATGGGAGCACGATTTCCTTGCTGAATTCTTTATTGCTTTATCTCATGAACCTCTATAATCCTAAGAAAGAGTCAATTTAATGATGACAAGCCTGCCATCAGTCTAATAACGACAGTCCGAGGACTGAAAGGAACAAAAAGAAAGGCGTATTTGTGTTTCTGCTCCACAAGGAAGTAATTCGAGCCCACAATCTGTGCTCCATTATTTTACGCAATGAACCGTTATACTACTATGCGGCAGTTGGGGGATGGCACCTACGGGAGTGTCCTGATGGGCAAGAGCAATGAGTCTGGAGAGCTGGTCGCCATCAAAAGGTACTGTGTGCAGCGTGGCATGGTCTGCTATTGGAACTCTGATCTTTCTCTGCTTGCTTGAGAATACACATAGTCACAGAGGTACTTATGTGTCAGATGTGGTATGCTCTTCTGAAGAAGGCATTGCCACAAAAGGGATTCTGCCAATCACCTGTATTTTTGTGTTTTGGTTTATCTTGCTACATTGATAAAGAATCAAACAAAATTATAAGTACTTTTTATGCACGATAAATTTGGGCTAAAACTGAAGATAGTATTTGGAATGTTTTTTAAGAGTTTAACTTTTAACTTTGAGTACAGAGTCAAGCTTACTGTATCTTTGAAATGATATACCTTATATTAGATGATGTTTATAATGTCAGATTGTGATTGACATAATGTTTACAAGACTGGCCAATTAAATGTTATAGTGTGTGGTTGAATTAGAATTGTCCAGCAGGGTTTCAGAGGCAGTAAAGAAAATGGAAAAATATTGTCCATTTTTCTCTCATGGGGCAGCTGGTAGATTTGAACTATGTACTTTTGGGTTGCCAGCCCCATTACTTACCACTAAGCCACTAGAGAACTATGTTATTGAAATCTAT